GTCACCTTTTGTCAGTCACGGCGATGAGCATTCAGGTAGCCTGGCAGGAAGGCATGGACCTCAAGACCCTCTTAGGCACTACGATCCCATAATTCCATTCAGGATTTCGCAAAGGCATGCAAGCAGTTTTCTCTCCCCCTCAACAATGAGAAGTTGCTTTCACACCAGTCATGGCCTCAAACGGAAGCTTAATCCCTGGCTGGAAGGCAAAACATGTTTGTGGCAAAATCAAGCAAGCATGTGAAGTGAAGCAGAATGAGGAATGTTTTATTACTGTTTGGGATGCCAGGGGTGGTTGGGAGTATGTGTGGGGTTTTTTCATGATGCCAGAAGACATCTTAAAAAGTCATATTCTGTTGGCAGCTCCGAGATGTAATTGTTACTACAAGTACTACCGCTTACCAGCGACTGACTAAGGCACACATTTATTTTCTCACAAGCACCCTTTCCTTTCCTGGGGCTTTTCACCCAATTAAGTTCTCTCTTTCTCTCCCTCACTCCTTCCCTCCCTCCCTCTGTGTGAGTGAGTGAGTGTGTGTGTGTGTGTGTGCTTTCCCACACACAGAGGCATATACCACACAACTGAAGGCCAAATCCAACTGAACAGATTTATCATTTTTAGGGTCAAATTATGGAAAAAGAAACACTGTTGATACAGTCAGGTATTGCAAGATCTTCTACAACTATTTGTTGTAGAAATACAACTACAACTACAATAATTACACTAACAATTCTAAGTTAATGACTTGAGAGGAAACAGTTCCTTCTTTAAATTGGATTGGATTCATCAAGACTTGTATACAAGGGAATTTCTCCTCCTTTAAGTCAGATAAAGACATGACTTAAGAGAATGCCTAGGCTCTAAGAGAATCTTCAGAAAAGTAGGCTCTCCCCCGCTCCACTGCACATTAAGTAAATAACTCCCCATTTCCCCAGTGCTTGCTACCCATAGATTGTAGCTCAGGCCCCAAATATGATGTAGTTTTTATAGGTAATATCAGGAAAAAATGTTCCTTTCTTGTATGATAATCGTGGTAATGTTAGATATTTCGAAACAGCCACTAAGGATGGCAAAATCAGAAGTTGGTAGCCCTAAGCCAATCCCTTCAAAAAAAATTTTTTTTTTTGACAGTTTCTTCACCCAAGTGATCTATGTATGAGAACCACTTGTCTGAACCAAGGAATTTAGGGTCAATCATTTAGTTGTTACTAGCTGCCATCTAGTTATCACAATGGTGACCATCCTCAGGGCCAACAAACAACCCATAGAAAATTTAAGGCTTATTTTAGTCAAATGCAAGGAAGAGAGTATGAAAATTTGTAAGGTCTATAAACTTGTGGTCTATAAGTTCCTGGTTGTTCTGGAAGTTTTTCCTCTATCTGCAGGCCCCTCACTGCACCCTATCCACCCCTCATTCGAAACACAGGTGCTAAAGCTTGAGAGTACCACTAATCTGGGAACCCCCAAATTAAGACAATTCACCCTGAAATTCTGAGAGGTCGGCCTTATGGTACTAAAGGCTTTAGAGAACAATTCACAGCATTTTGTTACAGCATTGGTTCAGTTAAATTCAACTGAAATAAATGCCTGAGACTAGCTTCTTGCTACTGTAGCATCTCACCCAATCCAAGTGATCCTAAAATCCATCTACCCAGAGAAACCAAATGGCATGGTTGGTTTGGGAAGCCAAAGCTGAGGAGGGTCACTTGTTCCCTCTAGAACCTCCATACTGAGAACAAAGGCCAAAAAAATCAGCTGGGATACATCATGACAGGTCTTCAACGATTTATAAAACTTTTCAAGTAAGAATATATTAATAAGTGACTGTAAAACGAAAATCTCTTTTTTTCCAGGGATTCTATCTACCCTTAACTGTATGAAACCTAAAATTTTCTTTTTTTAGATTTCCCCGAAAATGATTTCCAAAATAAAAACCATTCTGGTGGGAAAAAAAAATCCATACACAGTAAATTTTTTAATACCTTTATATACCTCATCTCTAAGTAATCAGTGACAAATAATGTATTTGTTGTGAAAAGAGTTAATTTCCTAGATTAAATGTGCACATAAACACATAAATGTGACAATATTTTGAGATACAGGATGCTAATAAAGGTAACATTTATTGGGCTAGCTACTGGGACACTGGGTTACTTTACTTGGATTACCTCGGTTAATCCTTACAACAAACCTATGAAGTCGATGCTATTCTTACTCCCATTTTAAAGATAAGGTTTAAATGATGAGACTTTTAATGTAATTTGATCTCCACTAACCCAGAATTTGAGTTCAGTGTTTACTCTGGCTATACAAAGGCTGAATAAGCATATGAGAAATTAAGCAGAATTGTAGAAAGCATGGTTAACCTACCAGAAGAGTCTGTTTTCAGACATACTGGAAAGCAGATGCTAATTGCAAGCCTTCCAACAAGAATGGTTTGGAAAGCTTCTGTCTGAAACAACTGCCATGAAATGCTTGAAGATTCGGACTTTCGCTAGTTAAAAGCAGGTTTCCTGTCACTGTTACATCCAAATTAGTAAGGTTTCTACAGATGATACAGTATACTGAACGTCAGCAGCCATTCTCCCAGCACCCATCTCCCTTTTCCAGTGCTACTCAGTTCTGTCCCCCCCACCTGTCCTCCCAGCCCTAGTGCTAGGGAAAGGTTATGCATGCCCCCAGGAGAGGGATAGACCAATCAGAAAAACCTGCCGCCCCTGCCAATCAACAGACTGTCTACTGTTCACCTGTCTACTGGGATTGGCTGAGGAATGAGCATGTGGCATAATTCCCACCAATGAAATGCCAGGGTTGGCTTGCAGGGGATGAAATTCTGGAAAAGCTACTTTCTCAGTCTTTTTAGGAGTTACTGGCAAGGATGCTTCTTTCCTTCTGGCCAGAGGGACTTAACTATGAGCCCAGGGACTTAACTATGAGCCCAGGAACTTCCGCAGCCATTCTGCCTCCCTGAGGTTGAACTGACATCAGAGAAGAGTGGTTGATGTCATGTTGAGTTGCTATTTCACATCCACAATGCAGTCCACCCCATCCCTGAACTTTGCAGGTACAAGAGCCAATTAATTAATTTCCTGTGTGGTGGGAGCCCCTTTGAGTTGGGTTTTACGATGGTCACAACCCCAGAGGATCCAAAATGATAAATGAGAAAAAGCACTAATTCACAGCTTTCTCCCCATGTGCTTGGATTTTACTTGACACTGCTTCTTAACTGTTTCAGGTGGCTTTGTGTTGGTTTTCTCCTTAAAATGTAACAGGTTTTCAAGACATACTTTCAAGAATTCATGAGTGGCCTTTGGCAAGTCACTTGACTTTCCTGGGTCTTCCCAACTGTAAAAAGGAAGACATTTGACTAGAGGATTTCTGTTGCTCTTCCCAGCCCTCACAGCCAACAGTTCTATATGGGTGACCTAATAACGCAAAGTTTCATTTACTCCACTAAACAAAAACCCCTCTTTGGATAGAAACATCCAATATAATCCAAGCAATTTGCATCTCTTGCTTGGTCAGCTATTTTCCACTTGCATCCCTATATCCCCCCTTCTGCAGTCAGTTCTGTGCCCCCCAAGAGGGTCTTGATCTCTATGGACAGCATCAGTCTGGCTCCCTGCCTTCTAGCTTCTGGCTGAGTTTGCCTAATGGGAGGGGCCATGAGGAGACGGGAGGACTGACAAGGGAGTTCAATGAGGATATTTATTCTCTTGGCTCCTTCCCAGCTGTGTCACTGAAGGTTGACTACATCCTTCCACCAGACAGAGCCTTTCCATGGAGCTTCTCTTTCCAGTTCTAATAACCAATCCTTCCCTCTTGCTTTCAGGACCAGGCATGGTAACAGCTCCCTGATACCCCTAGCCTCAGGATACTTCAACATCCTGTGCTTGGTTCTCTTAACCCTGCCTATACCTACAGTCCCTTCAGAAGAGTCTTTTGGATGACACCACCTGTTTCTTACTGGATCCCCAAGACACGATGGCTTAAAAATTAAAATCAAGCACAACAAAAAAGAAACAGAAGCAATCAACTTTGAGTCTCACTAAGAGAGATGAAAAGTGTGGCCCTTGCCAAGAAAAACAACCTGCACATACCAAGAGAATCCAGTTTGACACCCACCACCCTCCTTTCTCTGCTGTCCCTGAGAATTGTGGGAAGTGGCTATCCCTTGCTATGCCAGGGTTTAAACATTAAAAAAAAAAAAAAAATCTCTTTATATACAAACTTATTGACCCTTCAGACAACTTCTGTGTGGAACCTGGCAGGGGAATCCCAGCTATGTGTCCATTTTCTAGGGGGCAAACGAAGCCTGGAAGAGAATACAGGGCTACAGCTGATTAAAAAAACAAACAGGGGCGCCTGGGTGGCTCAGTGGGTTGAGCCGCTGCCTTCGGCTCGGGTCATGATCTCAGGGTCCTGGGATCGAGTCCCGCGTCGGGCTCTCTGCTCAGCAGGGAGCCTGCTTCCCTCTCTCTCTCTCTCTCTGCCTGCCTCTCTGTCTACTTGTGATCTCTGTCAAATAAATAAATAAAATCTTTAAAAAAACAAAAAAAAACCATGCAAACAAACAAAAACACTAGAAATGTCCCAGGGCCAGTTCAAAGTCTCCTTGGTTCAAGAATCTGCCTCCTACAGGCTCTGGTGGCTTTCTCAGAGCAGCCCTCTGTACTACAGCTCTCCAGAGAGGTCTAATTCCCCCTGAACACATCCAGAGCTACCATTCATGAATGTCTTTTGGCTCCTTCACTGTTCACAACTCTGCAAAGTCAAGAGACACAAGGGACAAGGCCCTCAGCCCCATTCCACATGATGCTGAATGCCACTAAGTGAATCCACAACGGCCGACCATTTCCCAAAGAAAGTTTTCCAGAAATCTATGGGTGACCAGGCCCACAGCATCCTTCCTCCCCTTCTTGGGGCATTTTCCATTGCATGGATATCCAAGGAATGCTTTCAAGGACCCATTCATCACAAAACACTTCAGAGCAGCTACCTGTTTCAGGATTAAGAAGCTTAATCGTTCAGGGTTGTCCTGCTTCCATGTCTTCCTCCTTCAGCATCCGCCAGAGCCAGGGCCTGTAGGAGTGACCCAAAAAGCACATTCAGGATATTCAGCTTGAACATGGGAAAGATTGTATCGATCAGGAGGAGAGACCGGAGCAGCCAAGGATGGAGCCCTGAAGAATCCAACAGCAGATGGACTGGCCCAGGAGGAGGCCCCTGAAAGGCTGCTGAGGAAGCCCAAGGGAGAGGAGAATGTAGAAGAGAAAGACACCCAACGCCATTCTAGTTCCTCAGGCCCGAAACCCAGAAGTCCCCTTAACTCCCCTCTTTCCCTCACACTCCACCTCCACACCATCAACCAGCAAATGATGTCAGCTGATTCTTCAAGACACATCCAGACTCACCCCTTCTCGTTCATTCCATTGCCACCACTTTGGTCCAAGCCAGCAGTTTCGCTCCTTGGATTATTGCAATGACTTCCTTACTTGTCTCCCTACTTCCACCCTTGCTTGCCTTTCTAGAATCCACCTATGATGGGGATTGAATCGTGTTATGGCTTGGACTGCATCTCCCCCAAATTCCTTTGTTAAAGTCCTAACCCCCAATACCTCAGAATATGACCTTATTTGGAATAGGGTCATTGCGGATGTAATTAGCTGTTGAGATAAGGTCATCCTGGAGTAGGGTGGGTCTCTAACCAGTACAACTGGCGTTGGTATAAAAAGGGGAAATTAGGAAGCAGGCACTCACATGGGGAGTACTGGGGAGTATGCTGCTGTGTGAAGATGGGAGTTCCACTGCCACAAGCCCAGGAGCTACCAGAAGCTGGGAGGCGGGCCTGGAACAGATCCTTCCCTAGGGCCTTCAGAGGGCGGGAGACCCTGCCGACACTTTGAACTCAGACTTCTGGCCTCCAGAACTGTGAGAAAATATACTTCTGTTATGTAAGTGTTATAAAATACACTTCTGTTATCTGGTAATATTCTGTTATTACCCAGTTTGTGGTACGTTTTTATGGCAGCCCGAGCTGATGAATACACCATGCTCCCCACAACAGCCTCAGTGATCATTTAAAAATCACTCTTCTGTTCAGAAGACTCCTACAGTGTTTCATCTCTCTCAAAATAAAAGACAAAATTCTTGAAATGACCTTCAGGGCCCACATGACCTGGTCCAGCCTCTTCCTTGACTTTTTCTTCTACTCTGCCCTTCTTCAGTTTCCTTTAGCCAGAATGGCTTCCTCAAACACCCCAAGCAAGCTCCTCCCTCAAGACCTTTGCCCTTGCTCTCCCCTCTGCCCAGAACACTCTTCTTCCAGGGCATCCTTTACTTTCTTCAGGTTCTGGTGACAATGTCCCTTTCTCAATGAGACCCTCCCCCACAACCCCATACCCTTCCTATCACCCTTCCTCACTGTGTTTTTTGTTGTAGCATTTATCAGCACCTGACATTTGTTTATATTTTTTGCCTTCTTCCCTCACACTGGTCTTCAAACTCCCTACAAATAAGGGGCATGGTATTAGGATACGTCCCAGAGTCTGGAACATGTTGGTGCTCAAGAAATAGTTGTGGAGAGATTTATTTGTGGAATGAAAGAAGCCAAGAGAAGTGAGAGGTGCAAAAAGGAGGAAGTTGTCCAGTGTCAAAAGTAGCAATGAATCCAGAAAGATAAAGAGTGAAGGGTCCGTTGGGTGTGGCAATATGGAGGTCACAGGTGACCTGACAGGGGGCAGGTTCCTGTGGAAGGCAGGAGCCCTCTGCAGCAAATCCAACCAGGTCCCTCCCCTGGGCCCCGCACACCTCCCACAGGTAGAAAACATATGGAGTTGGCTGTGTCAACTAACGAGCAAAACCTGAAGGCAGATTCTTTCCAGACAACTGTCTCTTAGGGGAGGAGAAAAAGGAATGAGAACTAGAGAGGGTGAAGGTTTTTGAGGTTTGGCTTCAGCCAGCTGATGGAAGGTCGTGAGGTCCCAGAAGCTACAGGAGATGGGGAGGATTCAGGCACAGGAAGAAGGTTCTCTCTGGCCAGGAGGAGGGAAGCGTCCATCTCTGAGTGGAAGGAAATCAGGCTGGGACGAGGCCCAGTGTCAGTACCCACAAGGAAGTGGAGGCAGGAACCTGAGTCGGCTTAAGACTACGCTGTTTGGAACTTGTCAATGAATAAACGAAGCCAGGTTGTGTCCTGAGTGAAGAAGGGCAGAGAGGAAGGAGCTCAACAGGGGGTATGGTGTGAAACACCCCACCAAGGGGAATCATGTAGGTGACAGGGCAGCCCTAAAACCGGAGGCCTCCTGAAATTTTATGCCTCAGTGTCTCACTAGCCTCCCCCAGTGGCAACCTGACTGGGGTTGGAGGGCCCAGCAGTACTGAGGGCCCAGCTGAAACCAGAAGCCATGGTTTCACAGAGGCATAATCCACAGGGCTGTGAGGGTTCTGGACAGGCCCCCAGCAGCCTGGATTAGAAAAGCCTTCCCCAGACTGAATCTGGAGGCCCCCACAGGCTCCCAGAGTGAGCCCCTGGAGAGCCCTCAGAACACTCCCCTGCTGCCTCCCCACAGGTCACAAACTGGGCCTCGCCCCCACAGGAGGACTCATACTCTGCTGAGCACTGACCACAACGTGTGTGCCAGCCGCCACACAAGCCAAACCCTCACACGACCGTCCCGTGAAGTGTTTTTGGCCTCCACACACAGACGATGAAACAGAGATTCAAGAAATAAAGTAACCTGCACAAGGTCCCATGGGCAGCAAGGGGCAGAGCTGGGGCTTAACGCCTTCCATTTCTCTGTCTTCCCTTCTATATTCATGTCACTACCTTCATCCAAGCCCCCAAAGTTTCCCCTCCTAAAATTCAACAGGATAAATGTGTTCTTACTTGCCCCCTGGCGTTCCCCGGCATTTCCAGGGCAGCCAGCCAGGTGAGCCTTCTTACACCACGGTGTTTACCTAGCCTGGTCCTGTTCAGCTAGCTTTGGCAGCTCTCGATATGCGAAAATGGCCAACTCTAGAGCCATATTCCTTGGGATCCTTCAGGAACACTTCTTCAGTCTTGTTTCCCACCGGCACCCTCCACTCCACCCCACTGGCTATGCCCCTCCCCTTTCCACGCCCCTCAGGCCCCAAGGCCCCACACATTTCTCCCCCTGCAGCCCCGCCCCTCTCAACCCACCAGCTCTTGGCCCTCTCCTGCAGCCCACTGAGCGACACCACCCCGGCTTCCTAACCCTCCCGGCTCTTCTGAGCTCACTGCATTTCCCTTCCATGTAGACTGCGAACCCCTCGAAGGTGAGTGATACTTGTGTTGAAAATGCTTGGAATTGCCCACTGTTCAATGCAGGGACTGTTGGCTGGTAAACATTGCTTGATCTACAAACAATGCTGATGTAGCTCAGATGATACAGCTGCAGAAGTTTTTCAGAAAATAGAAGAGAACTGGAATGGGCAAGGGACGGGACACATGGCCATCTTCAAGTTTCTGGAAGCGTACTGATTGTTCCTTTGCAGGAGCACCCAGAGTCTGGCATCCTGTAAGAGCTATCCCAATGAGAAGGAGGGTGCTAGATTTATCTCCCCCTCCTCCTCCTTCCCACATATTTGAGGTCTTGGCATCCTTCCTTAGCTACCCCTTCACATGCTTTCACAGACACAGATAGCTATCCTCTCTTCTTCCCTCTTCAAGGGAAGAGCTTGAGATGTGAGAAATCCAGCTCAGCAGGGTTTGTGGTGACCAGAGGAATGGTCAGAAGTAGAAAAAAGGACACTCCATTTCTGGGGAATTGGGAGTTGGCCCTAACCCACTTCAGTCATCAGCCACGGACCACACATAATTCTGGGCTTTGTGATGCTACAAGGGGAAGATGAGTGGGAAAGATCAAAGTCAGCAGAACACTCAAGGACCATCAAATCACACCCCAGACCGAGAGAATGGGCAGCCCCTGAGTAACAAGAGAAACAGGGGTCAAGGTGATGCTATCCACAAAGAAGCCCAATAAGATATCAAGATCTCCTTAAACCAGTGGAACCAAAGGCGCAGCAGGGTCCTCATGGACCTCTGGAGTCAGGCTGGGATCCAATCCTGACCTGGTCATCCAGGGGCTGGCCAATCTTGGGCTGGTCCCTTAACCTCTCTGAGCCCGGTTCTGCATGAGCTACCATGAGGCCTAAATGCAACACACGTACAGAAACATCTAGCACACTGCCTAGCTTTATATAAGGGGCCCGATAAATGTTGCCCCCCTCCTTCCTCCCAGCCTTCAAACCTCCCAGCTCTCAACCCTGGATAATGAGAACAAGAACAGAAGCTACCGAGCGCTTCCCAGAGAGAAGGTCTGCAAAGAAAGATGGCAACCGTCAGCAAAAAGAAGGAGAACAAAGGGGCCACCCCACGGCCTCTAAGAGAGAAGCGCCGGACCTCTGTGAACACCCGGGTTTCAAAACACAACAAAGCTTCGAGCCTCAGACCATACCCAAACAGGAAGTTTGTGACAAACTTAGAAAACACACAGGCACGACTGAAGGAGGTAGCACATCCCTCCACAAAGATAAAAACCAGCCCTTCACGGGGGTCCGTGGGAAATAAAAGGAGTGCGCCCGCTTGCCGTTCCCAACGCACAAAACTCTCTCTGGGCATCAGGGAGCACGCTGCTCCGTGCTCCCCCCTCACCTCAAACACATGGCCCAAAGCACATGCAGCTGCTCTGGTTTTGCCAAAGCCGGGGTCTGGCAACTGCTCCCCACTCTCTGTCCTTCCCCCCCGCCCCCACAGGCATCAGGGACAGTGGGCACCCTGAACAGCCATGGGGGGTGGGGGACTTAGGTGTGTGGGGTCACTTTTCAGTCGGGAGAAGGGAGCACAGGAAGAGGAAGTGATATGCGGAGGTGCCTGGCCTGTGTATGTTCCAGCAGGCCCACTGGCACTTCGTGCTGGGGTCATCAGGCTGCCATTTTTCCTCCTCTGAAATGATGCCTGGCACTAACCTTTGCACTGGCACCGTTCACACTGGTGCGGGCACTACAGCCTCCGTTCATGTGTCTGTAAGTGCAGGCAAATAGGGACATGCCTAACCGCC